TTTACTTGGTAAGTTTTAAATAACTTCATTCTTCTTATCACCTGTTTCTTTTAAAATGCATAAAAAATTACGCCTTCTTTTAACCCACTGCACAAAGATGGCATATCATCACTGAAATTTTAGTTTATCAAATAAATTTACATTGAGATGGCTCCACAGGTGCTTAGTCACAAAGAAGTCAAATACTAGTCTACATATCTTACCTGATAGGATTTTTTTTCTATTATTTTACTATTTCTAATGTTATTAATATTCTAATAAAGGATGATAATCATAATGTCATTAACAATAATAACAGTACTGATATTAATAGCATTGTAAAAAATCAATGGAGCCTACTAACTGACTTCTTGGTGGCCAAGCACTTGTGGAGCCATTTGTGCACAACAAAATTCACAGACAACAGGGGGCAGCACAAAACCCTGCAGCCACAAGGTTAAAGAAGATTCTTCAGCAAGAAATTACTGATTGTCAGCAGATTTGGAGTTGTTTAAAACCCAGATAAATTTACAGACCAACATTTACAGCACAACATTTCCAGACTTCAAATAACCTCTGTGAAAGTATAAAAGGAGTGAGTTACCTTAAAAATTTATTTCACTTTACATACCCCTCAAGTTTATAATTTTATGATAAGAGGAAGTGGGTTATCCAAGCTTAGAGATGTTGCCACACATTAGATAATGATATAATACAACAAAAGTTATGAGATGATTTTGTTCCACAAGTACATAAGTGAGAAAACTATAGAAGAGTGGAAGCACATTTAATTCTGGAGCAAATATATTTGAGGAGGTGAAAGGGGACTACTTAATGAAGACAATGTCACATATTGCCATCTTATTGTCCCCTATGACATTATTTTTGCTTTGGTTCAAATGCATTTGTGCACACAACCAGATACAACTACAGAACTTTATCATAGGTAATAATATAGTGTTAATCTACCAAATACCTTATCTTATAAAGAAGTGAGTTTTCCATTCTCTTCCCCCATCATCCTATTCATCTAGAGTCTGAGTTACAAAATGAAGACTGCAAAAGGTTCAAAAAGTATTTCTCTTTGTCATAGTTTCCTTGTCATCCTCACCTGCAGTTACATCCATACCTCAGACCAAGAATGTAGAGAGGTTATCTTTCAGACAGAACTTCCACCCAGTGAGATTAAATACCTGGATTTTGTGGAAAAAACATGCACTGAAAGAGAGAATGAATCTTATGCAAAGAAAATTATCCCATTCACAGTGTTAACACAAAAATGCAAACAAACATGAACAAAAAGAGAGAAATAACTTGCACTTGCTTTTCACTTTCCAAGTATCCTATAAAAGCTGAAAATGAGCCCGCCCTCCAAAAAACAAAAATGCATAACATTTCTATGCTATTTGAGGAAAAAAATCTGAATTACTTAGATCATTTATCCACTGTTCTATCAAGTAAGAATTATAAAATTAAAGAAAATAAGGTAAGAACCAGAGATAATCAAAGAAAAACTGAAGAATGACATTCAAATTTCAAAAATTTCCTACTGATAGTTATCACAATAAGATTACTAACCAAAAAATGGCACTTAAAAGTTATATATGCAATGTACAGTATTGCAATATCTTACTTGTAATGCAATGTGAGACATGCTAGTTTACAATGGGAAATGAAAGACAGTCCATTAAATCCTTATTATGGTAATCAGTAATACACATATCAAATAATACTTACCTCCTGATATTCCTTTCAAAGTTTATAATCATCAAGTAACTGGTACAAAGAAAAATTGGTATCTCAGTGTATTTCCAAATGGTATTTGTCAATACATAAGCATTCACACACATAAACATAATTGCACATCAAAACACTTAAAAACTATTTCACACTCTAATCAAGTCATTCCGAGGACATGGGACTTTGCTGAAGTCATCATTGTCCAGGTAACACCCTCCCATCACACGTTTGGCCTGAGAATCGCCGCTCTGCCAGCATGAGAGCGCCATTGTCAGTCAGCCCACACCTGCAGGTTGATGAAAATAGATTGCAATTTATGAATGGATTACCTGAATGTAAAAATACAAAATCAATGCTCATTTTGAAAAACTGAAATAAATGAATCTGAAATATTAAAATAAATATATTAAAATATAAGTATAAAAAAGACACATAAATACACTGTTTATGATAAATGTACAAGGAAAGAGCTAAATATGATCTTTTTTTACTGACTACTAAAGACAATAAAAAAAAAAAAATCTGGGAAGCAATATTACTGTCATGGTGAATATCACTGAATTGATTTCATATTTGCCATGTAAAGGAGCAAATATTAATGATGAATTCATTAAACCAAAAAATGCAAACTGGGATAACTAAGGGTCATTCCAGCATTATATAACAAGAACTTGCTAAAAAATTTACATTCTCATACAAATGATGTTCTTAATCACCTTGTATAAAAGCAACTTACACCAAAAAATAAATAGAAGTGTTTACTAAATAAAATAAAAATCAATGAGCAATCTTTCATACTATGTGAGAAAACCTATTCTAATTCTATCAATCATTCAACAAATTGATAAGATTAATAGCATTTATTCATAATTATCTAATAGCTTATTACAAATATTACATCCAATACTATTTACATCTTTCATGGTAGGTCAAGACAGTCTACGAAAAGTCAATCTATAGAATCACAACTAATATCTGAAAATAACTTCCAACATAAAATGTAGTACAAAGACAAATTTTAAAAATGGCTAAACACACAAGAGTCAGCAATTCTTACCTGGCTCTAACTTTATCCAATATTCATTCTTTGGATTTCGGATAATGCTGGTAAGGTTTCTTAAGTGCAAGTAGAATTCTTGCATGTGTTCAAGAGGAATGGATGAGAGAGGTGCCCTGTCATATATATTGTACCTGAAAGCAAAAATACAGCTTGAACACAAATTACTGACTGACAAATAGTTCTTATTTCTTTTTCATTCCTTATGTTAATCAACCAACAATTAAACTGTTAATTCTAATTCATTAATGAATCTGTATAACATCAAAATCTAAAATCATCTTTAGTTTTTGGGCTAGAATGTTTTAATAATCTATAAAAAATACAATATAAGAAACTCTTTGCACAGAATCCAATGTGTATATGTAATAAATCTATCCTAAAAAACAGTATAAATATGAGTCAAATTTTCATGGCTTCTAGCATATTCAAATAAAGTAAAAACAGAAAAAAATTTTCCTCAACAGGAAAAACATATTTAAAAAAACAAGCATGAAAATATAAATAAAAAGCAATTTTATTTATAACAAACATACACCAAGAAAGATGAATAAAAATATTAATACAAACCTGAACTGCTTAATCCGACCAGTTGCAGGATTATGCTTGAAGATCGTGTCTAAAGATAAGTGGTGTCTTCCTCGGTCTATATATTCAGATGGTATTGCTGTTTTGATAAGAATTACAATTCAACTCTCGGAAATGGCTTACGAGCATAAAAGCCGTCCCACAAGAAAATTTACATGTCTTGGGCAAGAAGCAGTGAAATACTGGATCCTAAGAACAAAATAGAATTTTTGAAAATGTTTAAGTTCAAAGGAAAAACTAAAAAGAATAAAACAAAACACATCCACTTTGAGAGAATTATCATATGCATCGGTCTTTTCTGAGTAAATTAGCGAAACTGCTTTATTTACTAAAATTTACATTCAAAAAGTAAAATCGTAAACCTAACACAAAGTCTTGAGGGAAAATAGCAATAATAAGTGGTAATCAGTAAATGGAGATATCCAATCTTCTAGTAATAATGCGTATACGTGTAATAAAATCAGCATTATCTACAGTGTATTAGTGTGTACTAGTCGCCAAATTGACCAGAGTGCTTTTCCATAGAAGGTCCTTTTAATGGACCGACTATAGTTTGTTTCTACAGCTGCACGTGTGACTCCACCATCTGCTTATAACATTGTCCCCTGGGTAACCTTGATCAATGTTTTTCATTACTTTTAGCCGTCCCAATAAGTATTCACTTAAAAGGAAATGCCCTAACGACCCACCTAGCTTTCTTTTCAAGCAAAAACTCGGTAACAACTTAGTCACGCTTTAACTACATACCAGAACACTTTATTACACAAATCCAATTTCCACAGAAACAATTATCACTAACTAGCCAATACTCAAATAAAAACCTCCAAACCTTTATAGTAGCAGTATAAATTAGTAATCACAGATCAACAGTAGCAAAAACAACTAAACAATCCTTGATCACCATACTAAAAAAAAAAATCGTAAATCTAAAATTATATAGTATACCACTACAACGATTATTAGCCATTAAAAGTATATTAATTTCACTCTAGTCAAACAAAATTTAAATTGTAAATGACATTATCAACTCATGCTTGTCAATCCTTATATACTTTTTCAATATACAAACTGTTCCTTCATAAGGGTAACTTAAATATCACAGAAAAAATGTACCTCCGAAATTGAAAAGCCAAAGCCATATTCATAAATAGAGGAAATCCAGCTTTTCAAGCCTCTTTAGCACAGGAATCCAATGTGTATATGTAATAAATCTATCCTAAAAAAACAGTATACAATATGAGTCAAATTTTCATGGTTCATAGCATATTCAAATCAAGTAAAAACAGAAAAATGTTTCCTCAACAGGAAAATACATATTTAAAAAAAACAAGCATGAAAAATATAAATAAAAAAGACAATTTTATTTTATACAACATACACCAATAAGAAAGATGAATAAAAATATTAATACAAACCTGAACTGCTTAATCCGACCAGTTGCAGGATTATGCTTGAAGATCGTGTCTAAAGATAAGTGGTGTCTTCCTTCGTCTATATATTCAGATGGTATTGCTGTTTCTGATAAGAATTTGTACCCTTCAGGATGTCGGTCTCGAAACTGCTTCGCTACACTAAAGCCATCCACAAGTAAATTTTCCCCACCCTGGTCTGCTGCAAGGAAGCAGTGAAATACTTGGATCCTAGAACAAAAAAATTTTTGAAAATGTTTAAGTTCAAAGGAAAAAATAAAAATAACAATATCAATCACTCTGAATATCATACAGGTTTTTCTATAAAATCTATACTAAATCATTATCAAAAAGTAACTTACCTACAGGCTTGGGAAAAATAGGTTGTATCAGTATGAGCTCCCAATCTTTCTTTAGAGTATGCTGTATCAGCATATTCCATGTTTGCTTCCATTGCCCATGCTTCTCCATAGAAGGTCTTTTTTAATGGACATATTTGTTCTACAGCTGCACGTGTTGACTCCACATCTGCTGGTACCTGTCAATGTTCATTCTTGTCTCCAATATCACTTGAAAAGAATGCTAAGCAGTACTGTTTCTTTTCAAGCAAAAACTGGTAATTATTGTTTTATTAGTATTTATTTTTTCTTTCCTAAACACATCTACAATGCATTATCAAATAAAACTCCATATCTATCAAGTAGGTAAATAATTATATCACAGATCACATAGAAAAACAAACATTTGATCAATTCATACTAAAAAAAAATGTATTAAATCTATAAGTAACCATCAATATTAGAGCAATTAAGGAATTAATATTACACTTCATACAAAATTTAATGTAAATACATTCAACTCATTTGATCTATATACTTTTCAATATACAAACTGTTCCTGCATAGGTAACTTAAATATCACAGAAAAATGTACCTCCGAAATGAAGCCAAAGCCATATTTCATAATAGAGGAAATCAGCTTTTTCAAGCCTTCTTTGTCTGGTTTAGTAAGTTCACTCAGTGGTACCTGTGTAAATATAAACACCAGATATAAGTACCTGGAAAACACATTAATGTCATCTGGTTAGATCTTGACAACTGTTCAAGCAAATCCAAATATAATGCAACATAATGCAGAAAAAATAATAATTCCATTACACAACATTCCAACGTTTATATCAACTCACTGTAGTCAATGGTTCTTTGGGGAATTTAGCGGCAGTCCACAAGACACGTTGCTCCTTGAAAGAAGTTCTTTTGCCCTCAAAGGAGTTCTGCCACAGGAACTTGTAATCATATTGTGATTTGTGACCGTCAGGCCCTACGGATTTTAAAAGTATTCTTAATCAGCACCTGAAGGTTTACTTCAATTACTGATCATGAGAAAATACAGTAACTAAATGGCTAAGTCAAACAAAAAATCAGAATTCATATCTGATTAAAAAATGATATGTTGAAATTGCCAGCATAGAAATATGAAACAAAAAGTGCCCTATCCTATCAGTGCACAGGTTTCTTAATTTGTTCTTTTGAATTAGACAAAAGACATTAGTATTCTATAAAAAGAATAAATATTATTAACCTTAAAAAATAATAACAATAATAACAAAGTTTTAACATAGAAAATGTATAGGAATTCAACTGACACTCTATCACCACCCCATCCTTGCTTGTCTTGACTGAAGCAGGGCGAATGTTTAGAGGAATCTTGTACACATCATGAATTCTTTGGAATGTCTTATAGTTGTAGCACTTGGGGCAGCGGCAATGGTCTCGCAGCCAGGGATAAGTTAGAGCTAGAGTATGTGGCCAGCGTGGGTGACTCAACTCTAAGCGTGTGCCTGCATCTAGGACTTCTACAATTATGGATTTACAAGAATTTAGATAATTTATACAGGCTCATATATATACATCATATACAAACATTGTAAGAGGCAATATCTATAATATAGCCTAATATAGTACCTAAAGTATATATACACATTATACTTTATCACAATGTATATGTTACCATAAGAAATTCATATACCTGCTGTTCCCAGTGGAGGAGTTGAAAAGGTTCTACTCTGCAGTCTATACAAGGAGAGGATATTAGTCTATATAAGGAGAGGATATTAGACTCTTACCTTTAAAATATCATAAACCACACACCCCAAAAATAATCATGTGTCCTTATAGTACACTATGAAGACAATATAATAAAAATGTAGTACAATACAATAATCTACAAGCTGTATAAATTTACATACACATTCATAAATAGCCTACATTAAACATTATCTATACTATCACGAAAAATATTATCACGATTATATAATCATAATATAATCATGCTCAGCTTCATAAATATAATTACTATTTTCATCATTAACAATTTTATTATTAACTATATTGGCATTGTTACCATTCCATATCATTACTTACATCAAATATTAAAACAATTTTTAATGTTACTTTTGTTATCGTTACCATAAATCATTATCATTATCATCATCATCACCACCATCATCCTCATCATTACTTTCATAAGGATTCCTTATCATCCTTTCATTAAAATCTTTAATCATTATTATTATCCCTATCAATATCCCAGATATTATAATTCTCATCATTATTATCATTATCATAATCATTATTGTTACTATTCTCATTATTATTATCATTATCATCACCATCATTAACATCATCATCATTATCATTATCATTATTAATACTATTATTGTAGTCATTATCATTTTTATAACTGTTATCATTATTCTTATTATTATTATCATTATCTTCATAAATATATATATTATCATTATCATTAAGCTAAGCCTTATCATCATCATTTTGTCATTGTTATTATTATCCTTATTATTACCATTATTATGGTCATCTTCATCGTATGTTATCATTATTATGACTGTTCTCATTATTATCATTATCATTATCATTATTATCATTACCATTATTACTATTATTATTGCTATTATTATTGTTATCATTATTATTATTATTTTTATTATTATTATTATTATTATTATTATTATTATTATTATTATTATTATTATTATTACTATTTTTTTTAGTCTTCATAATTATTGTTAACATTATTATTATTATTGTTAATATTATTATTATTATTACTATCATTATCATTATCATTATTGTTAATATTATCATTATTGTTTACAAAAGTATCATTACTATCTTTATCATTATCATTGTTTCCATTATCATTATTATCATCATTATTTTTATTTTCAATATTATTATTATTATTATCAATATTATCATTATTATTACTATCAATATCATCATTATCCATATCATTATTATTATTAGAAGTATTAATTTTAGTGCCAGTATTAGTATCATAATCATCATCATCATCATTTACATTATAATTATCATTGTTGTTATTGTTATGATTATTATCATCATTATCAATATCATTGTCAATGCCATTATCATTACAATTACTATTCCTATTATCATTATTATTACAATTACTATTCCTATTATCATTATTATTACAATTATCCTTGTTATAAAAATTATTATCATTATTATAACCATTAGTTTTTATTTTTCATTACTATTTTTTTATTACTATTATTATTATTATCATTATTATTATTGTTATTATTATTATTATTATTATTATTGTTATTATTATTACCACTATCACTAACATTATTATTACTGATTTGGCATTATCATTATCATTATTATCATTATATTACTATTACTATATCATTATCATTATCATTACTATTATCATTATCATTGTTATTATTACTATGATTATCATTATCATTATTATTATCATTATTAATATCATCATCATTATTATATTGACTTCTACTATTACTATTATTATTATTTCTTTAACTATTACTATTATCATTATCATTACTATTATTATAAATATCTAACTATTATCATTATCATGAAAACTATTTTCATTGTTTATCATTATCATAAAATTATTGTTATTATTATTATTGTTTTTAGTTCCATTATCATCCGTTCTATTATTATTATTGTCATTATTCTCATTAGCATCATTTTCATCTTTATTTCATTATCATCATTATTACCATCTTTATCATCATCACTGCTATTGTTATTATTACTATCAATTTCATTATCATGATTATTATCATTATGATCATGGTTATCATTATCATTATTGCTATTGTTCTTGTTATTCCTATTTTCATTAACCATTTCGTTGTTGTTGAAGATGATATAATCAAAGCATGTGTTCTCTAATAACTGTGATCCGAGAAACAGTTAATTCAATGTAACCATAAGTTCCCAGGCTACCTCTTCAGGACGAAAATAGGAATTTCAACGTTATTTATCAAGTTCTGGGTTGGTGTCTACACACTCAATGCTGTAAATGATTAAATAAGGGTAAAGGAGAGCTGCATGATATACCGATTCCACATATATATATAGGATTTTACTCATGTTCATATGTTATAAGAGAAACAATGCTCCATTACTGTGACCTTGACAGTGGCTTTCCTTTGAATCTTCGTGTTTTGATTGAGATACATATTCTGACATCATAAATTGACTACTCAGTAATTGTAAAAGCCAAATCTATAATCCAAGCCCAAAACTGCTGAGTACGTGACGGTCTGGAAATGGGTAATGGTAGCCTAGGGTGCCGGATACAAAAACTAGGGAAGATTACCTACTTTTTCACTATATTTCCGGGATATTCGAGTATGTCACCTAAAAAATTACATTACAAAAGTCTCATTAACTTTGATATTACTTACTGATTACATGGCGCACCCGGATATCTCCCTCGAACACAGCGATATACTTTTAAAATTGAAGAGCTGAGCATCCTGCTTGTCGAGCAGCACCGGCACAGAGACTCGCAGTACGGGGCAAGTTATCAACTTTCATCTTTTATGTTATCTCGCTGCTGCTGTTATAAATGTTGCTGAGGATATATATAATGTTATTCCATGTTGTGGGAAATATAGTGTTTACCCCGTATGTCTCTTTATCTTTCTTGTGGCGTTCTCTAAACTTTCTACTACAACCTCCCCTGTTTTATCAACTTTCGTTGTTTCAGTATTTTCAGTAAACTTTTGACATTTTACGTAAATTGGTATTTTATCATTGCCAAAAAAGTGACTCTTGTAGCCATTTCAAATACACATAGACTAATTTACCAAATCTTATTAAAGTGGTGCAGTGTACGGGTCGGGTGTTGGTGCTCGCAGTGCGCGTTTGTTTGTTCGCACCTATTTGTGTGTGTGTGCACGTGTGTGTATATGTATGTGTATGTGTGTGTGTATGTGTGTGTGTGTGTGTGTGTGCGTGTGTGTGTGTGTGTGTGTGTGTGTGTGTGTGTGTGTGTGTGTGTGTGTGTGTGTGTGTGTGTGTGTGTGTGTGTGTGTGTGTGTGTGTGTGTGTGCCCTGAAACGATCTTTATCGTACTGTATATTATTGATTGAGATGAAGTGATACAAACCTTGCGTAGTAAGGTGAACTGATAAAATTCAAGACGCAAGTCATGTGCTACCTTGGACGTAATGCAGCCAAGAACTGTGGCTTATCTAGACTTTCTTGGCAATGTGGCTTGCATGGATAGCATATACCAGTAGCACGGATACTTACACACATTTATACTTAGATATAGTACATACATGCACATGTACACACACATGATTCTCTCTCTCTCTCTCTCTCTCTCTCTCTCTCTCTCTCTCTCTCTCTCTCTCTCTCTCTCTCTCTCTCTCTCTCTCTCTCTCTCTCTCTCTCTCTCTCTTGTGTAAGTATATGTGTATGTATGTCTATATATGTGTGTGTGTATGTTTGTGTGTATGTGTCCATATATAAATAGATATATTTATATTTGTATATGTATGTATGTATAATGTGTGTGTGTGTGATATGGAGTGTCTCAAAATTTAGAGAACGAAAATCGATTAGGCATCTTTTGCTGGTGGTCGTGATTTAGATACTACAAGTTCTACAAGAAGCAGACATTTCCGAACATTTTGTAAACTTTATATATATATATATATATATATATATATATATATATATATATATATATATATATATATGGCCAGATATAATTTCTCATTGACATGATCCGGAAAGACGAAATACACATGCATACGCACACTCACTCACCTATTTGTGTGTGTGTGTATGACTATGTATTCACACACACATACGTGTCTATATATAAATGCACACATACACACACGTGTGTGTGTGTGCCCGTGTATATGTGAGTGAATGTGCGTATGCAAGTGTATTTCGTCTTTCTGGATCATGTTTGTGAGAAGTTATTTCTGGCCAAATATATATATATATATATAATATATATATATATATATATATATATACATACATACATACATAATATATATATATATAATATATATATATATATATATATATATATATATATATATATAATGTGCATGTATATATACATAAATACATATATATGTGTGTGTGTGTGTGCGCGCGCGCGCGCGTGTGTGTGTGTGTGTGCGCGCGCGCGCGTGCGTGTATATGTGTATGTGTATAGATAGATACATACATACCCATAACCATTTAATTTATCTATAGAGTATATGTAGAATGAAAGAAAAGACATAATAGAAACTGATAAAGCTGATTAAGCAAATGATAGTGATACTGCAAATAACAATAACAACAATGACAAAGAAAGAAAGAAAATTAATGATAACCATTGATTCGCAATGATCGACAAGTCCGGGGTGCGAAAGAGTATGGCGCGGGGTGCGAGATGTGTCCATTCTGACGACAGGCAATTAATCTATTCATGACCCCCTGCGGTTTTCCAGTTTTTAAAATCTCACAACGAAGAAACAGGAACACTAGAGTCAATGGATTGAAATTCTTTAATAAACGTCTTTTAGTATGATTTTTTTTTCTTTTTTTTTTAGGCAAGAGCGAAGATTTTTTCTTGGATTTATCCAGATAATAATCTTGAACACCTTTTCTTGTCCGTATGTTTGATTTTTGTTAACATATTATTTGAATATGAAATATATTTTGCTGATCAAAGTTAGTATAAATTCACCTCCTTTATCCTTATTTTAAACCATTGATTTTTAGAGGGTGCGAGGACACTAAAATTTTCTTAGTGGTGCGGGCGAAAAAAGGTTGAACCCACTGTACTAGCAGGTGTGTTGTGCATCAGGACATATCATGTTTCGGTTGGAAAATCGGCTGCATTGGCTATCGACTTTCGATGGCCTCTCTCGTCCATAAATTGTTCAGTCCAAAGCTTGTTTGTTTTATCTTCATTTTCACTTTGATATATTTTCTAGGTTGATCACCGGATACGCCAGGGGTGGGCAATTAATTTTTACAAGGAGCCTTATGAGAAACGTGAATTGTGTCAGAGGGCCACACCAACGATAACGATCTTAATTCTGCTCAACTTTCTTCCATTGTAAAATGCACTAATTTATATATTTAATGTAATATATGTTTAATAAATTATATATTTAATACATAATAGGGCCGGACAGGGACGCATAAAGGGCCGGATGTGGCCCGCGGGCCGTGGTTTGCCCAGGTCTGGAATACGCCATTTCATTTCGGCGTAAAAAGAGAAAAAAAAATCTGTTTTATTGTAATCATGTATACATGCATATATGAATAAACGTAAGACATCATCATCATCTTTATTACCACACATTAGTATCATCATTGCTATCGCCATTA